TGACCATGTGTTATCTATGGTTTCTCATTATTTGTGATTCTATGTTTTAAACATTGCAGAAAGCAAAAAATACTAATTTTAGGCGAAGCCCAGACATTTTAAACAAGGTTGGCAAAATAATTTACTGGGTCTCATAACTTATGCCAAAGCACAAGAAACATAAATGCTATAGCATGGTTGGCCAGGAAATCCAGCATCACTTGCAAAAATAGCTCAAGATAAAGATGCTCTCTTACAGCATTATACACAACGCAGTCAGGTTCCAGCACAGGGTCCCAATTCTTGTTTCTCATATGCTTAATCTTTTTAGGTTTCTGTCTCATGCACTCGATAACTTTCAGCAACTCCCTCAGAAGACCTCCTTGACCAAGTGTAACAGCAATACTATGATAAGCTGCCATATCAGGATAGATATTGCAATCTCCCTGCAGGACTGAAGAGTAAGAGTCAACCAAGCAACATCCAAAAGAGAAAGATAAGAATCTTATAGCAAAACATAACAAGATCAAATCATTATTACAAGCATCAGATTGAAAATGCGCAGAGCTTCCTGGGGTCTCCTTGCACTCCCAAGAACGGACAAGAGTTTTGTGAAAACAAACCTACAGGAAAAATTAAGTTCATAGCATAAGCAAGGTTTTAAGATAATTGGCTGACATTAGAAGCATGTAGTTCAAACTTTCAACCATATGAACTTCCAATCATGTAATCTATGTGTGTGTATTACACACACACACACACACACAAAATAAAACAGCAGACAAGAGGATACCAAACAATAGCTCATTGGAAAAGAAATTGCGAAAAGCCAACAGGACATAGAAAGTCTCTAGCATGAAGGGTGTGTATTAGTTACCATTAAACAATTACATAACAGATTACATTCGAGTGGCATGTTAGTTACCCTAAAAACCAAAGAAGATCTACTCAAGTACCAGGTTGAATTCAGCTCTCAACCTCAAATTCACAATTCTGTTCCATGGATTAGCTGATTGATACATAGATTGTGCTTCTGCTACCTTCCAACAAAGTGGAACTTGTACACAAATCTAGCCAAGGAAAGACCCTTGAGGTTTTGCATCAAAGCAATGTCAAACAAGACAAGTTGAAACCAAAGATGCCTTCATCCATCAGTTTAGATCTAAAAGCTCCCACTCCCACCCTCATTTTGACCAAATTATGTACCCCACAGGAAACAAACATATATCAGCTCTTAATATGATTTTCTATAAACCAAATCAATACTTTTCTCACACTATGAGTTAATTCTAAGGTAACTTGGTTACTTACCAAGTTAAACTATGTCAAATATAATCGCTGAAATTTGTATTTAATAAATCGAAAGATGATGATATTGCAAATCGGTGTGGTCAGTGTTGTATCATATTCATCCAATACCGATACAGTATAATTAAAAGTCTATGATAGGTCAAATACCGGTCAATATTGAGCTTACCAGCCAATATTTTTCCCGGCAGGTACCAACTATAAATTTCTAAACTCTTTTAATTAAAAGTTAAGATTTTAAATTAAGGTTCGTTTTTATGTAAGAAAATTTAATGCAAATGTTTTATTCTAATATACTTGTAGCTACCTTATCTACTTAAAGTTAGGGCGTGCAAGACCCATATACTAATCTTAGACTGCTGAAACTAAAAATCAATCCCTGAATTCTTAATTTCAAAAAGAAGTGAAAAAAAAAACAGAAAATTAACATGGCCAAAAGTTACCTGCTCTTAAAATGCCTACGCTCCTTGTCTGCATATATCCAACGGACAACGGCCATAGCTTGTCTCCAGCATCCCTTACCGCCAAGCCTCTCTACAATCTTAAGCATCTGATTCTCAGTAAACTGCAAACCAGATTGCTTCATTATCCTCACAAATTTCCAGTTCGTCTCAGTAATCTCCCTACGACTCAACCTACACAATACAGAAATTGAACAGGAATTTCCACCAAATCATTTGAAATTCTACATGAAAGTCCATGAATTTCCGCAAGGGAAAAAATGAGACTTGCCTATCAACAAGAACCCGGATGGACTCTCCCTCGCTAGCCCACCGTTTAGCCGGGTCATACTCCCGGTTCTCGCTCCCAAAACGATCAATTCCCTCAACATCAACGTCATCCTCCAAAACCCATTGTAAATCCCGCTCAAGCATCTCCATCAACTCCCTTAGATTCTCTCTCCTCAGCTTATCGCCATTGAACTCTCCGTTTCTGCTGCTCGCAAGCTCCTTCAGTCTCACCCTTTCAATCCCCTCCCATGGCTTCCCAACCATCAGCGTAACACCACCACCGCTCTTAACATCGCCATTTTTAACGGCGATTGCTTTGCTGAAGCGCTTGTATTCGCGTTTCAGGGTCTGGAAATGGGACTCTTCTGCAAGCGCTTGTCGCTGCGACTCGGTGAGCGGCGTTGCTAAGTCCACTTCGGACGCGAGGCGTTTACTCTTGCGATTGTGTTTCTGGGTTTCCTTTTTGCGGAGAGCTCGGAGGATTTTGGGAGTTGGATGCACGCCCTTCTTGAGAAGAGTTTGTTTGATTTTTTCAGTGTCCGGCTCAAACTTCAATGGCGGTTGTGGTGGAGGATTTAGCGGGAGTTGAGGCGAGGGGGCCGTTGAAGCGTCCATGAACTGGAAGTGACCGTCCAGTGGGATTTCTTTTTCCCCCTCGAGTCGAGGATTTTATGGCCGTAATCTGAGTGTCGTGTGGCTAAGGCCTAAGCGTGGAAAAATATCTTTTATTAAATAAATAAATTATTTTTTAAAAAAAATTTGAATGTTTCAACTCTACTTACAAGTTTAGTTTTAAAAATATTTTTAAATTTGTTAATTTATAAAAATTATACTTTTCTAATTCTATATATAATAATTATACACTTATAAGTAAAATCCAAATTTTGTAAAAAAAGTATTTGTTAGTTCTAAATATACCCATAAAGCCTAAATTTCCTATTGTCTTATTTGCAATAAGAATGCAAACATTATAGTATAACAAATTTAATTTTTTATCTTCAAAAATTATTTGGTGTTCAACTTATAAACTTTCTAACAACATTTTAAAGTTTGTATATATTTTATTAAAATTCCAAACCTTACAAATCAAGATACACATAACTCATTATAAAAATATCTTCAAGAGGCTAGACATTCCTTTGTTTTTTTCTGAAAAAATCACAGTGATCCCTCGAAACATCTCTACAATAAACGTACCAATTCTAGAAACGTTTCAATCTGCATTTTAACAGTACCACAATGTTCACCCTTTGCTTCAGTAAAACCTACAAAGTGCCTTGTGATTTCTTATTTCATGTTGTGAGACTCGGAAAATGAAGCTGAATCATCAGCTCATCACTCATTTCATCAGACAATGCAACCAGTGAAGAATCTGAGAGGAGCTGAGATAATCTACAGCCTCCCTCATTCAACTTTCAAACCCGGCAAATGTCAAATCTGCGAAAAAGGCCAAACCAGAAAGACTAACATTTCTCATCTCGTCATATCAGAATTTCTCACTGCAGCATTGTTAACAAGGAGAAAGCATCAGGATGAAAGAGCAACACTAACATAAGGGAAAACAATCTAATATACAATACATCTCAACAGTGCAACAGGAACAGAGTGCATTAAGCATTCAAAAAGCTCCATTAGGTCCTTCCTCAATTATAAATATCTAATTTACAGAATATAGCAGCACATAAAAGAAAATAAACAATTAACCAATAACCAACAAGTAGACAGGAAAAATTGTTTGTCCGCGAAGCAAGTAACTGAGGAGATATAGCACAGCGATTCCAGAACATGAGACTGTTCTTAGCTCTTTGATTTAGAATGTTTCACGAGCCAATCAATAACAGAATCAATATTGGTCGAGTTCTTGCATGAGATCATGAAGCAGCAAACTTCTCTATCAGTTATTGACTTGAGCCCCCTGGATAGCATAGTTAAACATTTTAATTACCAAATTTACAGTATAATGTGGTAAAGCAAACTTTATATTCCAAATTTGATTATTACTTTTACTGACTGGTGAAGTAAATGAAGTCTTACATTTCATCAGTCAGAGCTTGTTTTGTTAGAGCTCCTGGCTTGTCTATTTTGTTGCCAAGCACCAGTAAAGGGATACCACTAAGTGAAGGTTTGTTCAGCAAGTCATGAAGTTCACTTTTTTGATATGCTTAAGTTATCAGGATCAGCAGCATCGACCACATAACTACAAATCATAAAAACTAACAGTAAATTCACCCAACACTTAATAGAACTTGATTGGCAGTCTTGCAATGATTATACAAGAAACAAAGAACATGATCCAGAAAGATTTTTGTAATAAATACAAATTTAATTCAGAAGAAAAGTATTAAATTTATGAGATTTTCACACTTTCATCAATATTGCAAACATAGCTATGCAACAATTCTACAATCTAAGATATATTATTAAATCTCACCAAAAGTTCGCAACAACCAATCCATGATTAAAGGCAAACATTTGTCCTAAGTGAAGAGAACAAAAGTCAAAATTTAAATAAATCAGCTCCAGAACAACAATTCAAGATTAAAACGGATTTTTTCTAGCTGCCAAATGTGTTGAGAATTGTGCATGCAACTCAAAACTACTGTGTTTTACCCCGGGTAAAACAAGGAAGAAAAACTAAAAATCTAATTTAGAAAGAGAATGCAATACTACAATACCTAAATACAAGGTTATTTAAAAAGAAAAAAAGATCATCAGTATCAACACTGAAGAAGGTTCGTTGAATTTAAAAAATGCAAACAACGATTAAATGGGGAGCTAACAAAAGGCAAATTCTCTGTAGATTAAACCAATTTATTAGAAAGCTATCCTGACGCCTAGTCAATTAAAATGGGAAATGAGATCCTTACACAATAGCAGATACTGCACGGCAGTACCGCTCCCACATACTGCGAAACCTAGGTTGACCACCAAGATCCCATAACTTAATTGTAACATTTCCCTTTGTTACTTTTCTCATGTTGAATCCAACCTAAAAAATAGACACGAAGTAAGGAATGAGAACATTATTGTATGTTTTCCAGAAAAATAAAGGAAAAATTTCTTAAAAAGTTCAACTGACCGTAGGGATCATGTCTTCACTATACCCACCAGTCTGAAAAGCAAGTTTCACATATCAGCCTGAAGAAAATAATAATAATAGAGAAAGATACTAGAAGACCTTTTAGGCATGATTTACTTACTGCTACAACATTTACAAGTGAGGTCTTTCCAGCATTCTGAAGTCCTATTAAGGAGAGCTCCATTTCCTGCTTGAAAAAGAGGCTGCAGTAAAAACAGAAAAAAGTTGAGGTTATGTAATTTTCATGATGACCAAGTTAACCAAGGATGAGATAATACTAAAGAAGCCATGTCTCCTGGAATAGCAATTTCAAAGTACATGAATTCCACGATTGGCGGCTGAATAGCCACGTATAGATCTTACAAAAACAATGCATCATCATTGTTAACAGTTACTAACCATACAAATACCTACGTCCTAGAAGTAGTAATATATAAAAATCCAGTGTATTCCGTATCTCCCTTCATATAAACATTTTTATGAAGATTGCTCTTAGAGATCTTGTTCTTGTGATGGATACGCACAAAAATCCTTTGGCTTCCACAGGAACAGGGATACACCTCAAATAATATAACAAAAGTAACAAATTTGTGACAAGCCTAACTATTAGCCTGCTACTACTGCCCTTTGTTCCAATAAGTTCATCAATTACAGAGATTGTTGTACATAGCATTATCCCACTTCTGAAGACTACAGAATGAAAACTATTTCTTTGAAGTTGAAATATCCCGGAAATAAACTTTCTCAATAAAGTATGAAAAAATGTCAAATAAGTTTAATGGCTTCTTTTTTATTCATACAAAATGGCTAGTTTCCATACTATTTATTTCTGTTGAGGCAGATACACATCTCTAACATAAAAGAATATGAATCCAAAGCGCCCACGTGATATGCATGAGATTTGAGATAAAATGCCACCTGTGCCACATGTCAAGTGTACCCATCTGTTTAAAATTAAACAAATTAATGAAGGCCTGAAGATGAATCTTTTCCCTCCAGGCATATAGAAACAAAAATTCATTCCTTTTACAACCCATACCAAGCACCAAAAGTCTTCAAATTCCTAATTTTAGTTGAAAGCTCGTTATTCAAATAGTACTACTTGATCTGCAGGTGGAGTTAAAAAATTAAGCTACCTAAACATTTCAAGGAGATCATAAACTAGGATCAAACATCACCCTGGACAAACAAGATAAGACACAAGGACATGTAATATTAACGTCCTTTTAATGGATGTAAAGGATTCACAAAATCTCCAATTCTCTCCATTTATGACGTAAATGATTCGCAAAACCTCCATCATGGTTCTACTATCCATATCCGCTAAGCAGAAATTCCAACAACTCTATCCAGACTTCAATCAATGCAAGGAAACTTCCTTTGCTCCCACAATAACTAATCTCCTTTGTCGTTTTTATCCTCGGTCTTCTCATTTTAAGTGTTCCTTCCATGTCCCTAGTCCCGGGGTGATGTCATCATATTCAGTTCCATTCCCATAAACTAATACAAGTCATCGAGTAGAAGAACCAGAATCATGATTGAAGCATCCCGTATATGTTTTTACTTATCTTCAATATGTCAGCCACAATCAAACCAAAAAAAAAAAAGATATTCAGACTGAGAATATAATTTAGCATACTGTGAAACATGACAAAAGAAATCATACCAAAGAAAAACTGGTAGGAAATTTTTGCGGAACCCAGAAAGAATTGCGCTCCGTATGAGGAGTAATCGTAACTAAAAAAAATTGAAGTGCTCCAGGAAAACGAAACCGGAAATTGATTGAATTCCCACAATTTCCATAGCTCATAAGTAAGATTTGGAAAGGCGCAAAAATAATTGCTTAGAAATCTCTCGAGCAGAAGGTAATAAAATCCCCACAGACGACATGTGAAACAAGGAATTTTATAACAACGCAGCTTGCATCAAATGCCAAAAACATATTCGCATATACATATACATGATCTACACAATTGATTTACAGAAGACGATATCGAGCGGAGAAAGTAGGAACTGACCTTCGGAGCCAATTGAGAAAAGCTTCCCACAAACCCATTGATGATCAAAGAACCCGCAACAGATACAGAGAATCACAGAGAAAGGGAGAGAAGAGATCTAATAAATTAATCTCTGTACCAGAAGAATAAGAGATTATTTTCGCTCTCCTTCGTCCTTGAATTGACCTCTGGAGAACGGAAACTTCTCCTCCTCCCTTTTTTCCTTTTCCTTCCCTCCTTAGCTACTGATTACCGTAATTCGTACATCATGTGATTTATAGTTCAAATTTTCTAATTGTACAATAATTAGAATTCGTACAGATACAAAATATTAAAAAAAATATATATTTAGGAATATAATTACGGTGGGTAATAATCCGGTAACCATGCTTTACTTCTTAATTTTCAATACGACCCCATCTGGGATCAATCTGGACCGTCCACGTCGAGTGATTCCCCCCCCCCCCCTAAATTAAGCAAATCAGTGATTAAGATTTTGTCAGGTGGTGAAATCACTAAAACATTTCGGGCCAAAAGCCGCAAGTTTTTTTGCGATATATTTTATACGAACCAATCGGAGGATGATTCCACGGGAAGTGAGAGAAATTCGGAGGCAATCATTAAATGGAATCACCAATTTCAGGGGCTGGCGCGTGAACCGCACTGTACTCGGAGTCTAAATTATGGGTTGACGTTGATTGGTGGGTGAGATTTGCTTATCCACTGTGCACGTTAAGAGATCCGACACGTACGGAGGTTTTTAGTTGGCGTGGACGGCTGACACCAAAACTAATTGGCTTTGGGCCAGGCCCATTTTTTATTCGGGCCAACCCACTTATGGCCGAGCTGGCCCATTTTTATTATAATAGGCCTAAATACCCTTTTTAAAAAAATAAATATTTATTATAAAAAATATTTAGTATATTTATTATAAAGTTGGACGCAATGATTTTGTGACAATGACGTAAAGTAATTGAATAAGAAAAGGGAAAAGCGTCCTCGTTCCATATAATTTTGTCATATTTTAAATGCTTTTTTATATTTTAATCTTAATAATATTTTTAAATTAACTTTCGTGCACATCAAGTATAATATTATATTTGATTTAAAATCATTCATTTGTGATATATTTAGTATATCAAATTTTATTATAATTTATTTAACATTAGCAACGAAGTAATTAAGTTTTAACCATAAAATTAATTGAATCGAATTTTTAATACTATTTTTATATAAACTTTTTATAATTCCATGTTGATAAATTAATTTTTATTTTATTATATTATAATCTGCATCAAATTTAATTTTAATTATTTTATAAATGATGTTATGCGATAATTTTAGTAAAAAATATTATGTAATATAATAAATAAGACAATAGTTGAGTTTTGACAACAAATTATAAGTATTAGAATATAAACACTAAAATAATTTATCTTTTAAGTATTAATATCTAACAGTTAAATTCATCTATCATTTAATTAAAAGTTAAAACGAACAATCCACTACAAAATCTCATTTAATTTAATATTGTGATTGTCAGGTGACATTCGTCAAAAACATAAAATTAGAAAATTAGAGAAAACTCAAAGCAAGCTATTTAATCTCTTAGGGTTTAACTAAACACCAAATTGTACACTGGTTAATTAGGGGTTTGACCTAATCACATCCTGCCTGCCTTGCCATATTTAATCACCACCATAAAACCCACCTCTCTCCTCTCTCAAGTGCAAACCATAAAATTGTGGTCAAAGATTTGGGTGACAAAAGGGATGGGTGGAAATTTATGTGATCACCTAAAAAACAGCATAAAAGTAATTATATGTGTGTGTGTGTGTGTGTGTGTGTATATGTGTGTGTGTGTGTGTGTGTGTGTGTGTGTATGTGTGTGTGTGTGTGTGTGTGTGTGTATATGCGTGTGTGTGAATCCCAATACCCAAAGGAAAAGAAAGAAGAGAGAGAGAGAGAGAGAGAGAATGTATTCAATTAATATGTAGAAAAAGTATACTTCTTTTCACTTTTAAGAAAATGTATGAAGTAATGTAGATAATAAATTATTATATCATAGATTTTCCTAGAATTGATTGGAGAGTAAAGAGAGAAAATGGTAATTATAAAAAAATTAGTACACTTTGAAATTTTGTTAATTCAAAATTAGTGTAGAATTTATTTGTAAATTTATACTTAATTTAACTAAAAAATAAGTATACAAATTGAGCATATGGAATTTCAAAACGATGAATTCTCAAATTTATCAAAGTAAATTAAAATTTATGAGAAGATCTATCTTGTTTATCATTCTAATATAACATACACTACCCTTTAATTATTAATTATATATGTCACGTGGGTTTATTTTTGTTCTTAAGATAATCATGATCAAAATTGATTTTTCCAAAAAAGAAAAAATTAAAAACACAAAAACAAATAAATTAATAAAAAAGTAAAAAATATAATTTAAAATCGATATAAAATTAATTTGAAATAAAAAATTTTATTATATTTATACTATATTTTTATTAAGAATACCAATGTGAGTGTATACGTGTAAGAAGCTAATAAAAAAGAAATTAAAATATAACAACATTTAAAAGAAAAATGTTTGTAAAATTTAATATTAATAGTTTTTTTTTTCAGAGAGAGAGAGAGAAAAGTTTGTAAGAATTCCGGGGAAGTAGAAATTCAACTCCGCCCGATTCGTTTAACTCATCATATTCTCCTTCCTTCAATGTAAGAAAAAATATATTTTACTAAATCCATAACCACAAGCTATTCTTATCTTCCTCACTAAGCCAAACATCCAGCCCAAGCACCGCAATAATCAGTTAAAAGTTCATGCAATTTCCAGACAAACATTATGTATATACCTTTTCACTATTTTCCCGGAAAATTTACAATCTGGGTTTGCAATGTCGGGATCAAATGGAAGAGACCAACTTGTTTATCCGCTTCTTTTTCTTCTGGCTTTCACGTCTGTGATGCCGCAAAGGACGACGTTGGTTTACGGGTCGTCGTCACCGGTTGAAGAAGGACACCGTTTCAATAGACCCGATCCTCTGCAGCACTTCAAATTCTACCATGGCGGATACGACATCGGAGACAAGCATTATTGGGCTGTGAGTTTAATTTCGTGGATTAATTAACTAATCATAAATTAACACCTGGGTCTTTAATATTGTCTTTTCTTATGACGTTTCGTTGATCGATAAGAAATCTGAATCTGGGTCCACTCAACAATACGAGTTCCTCGTGAATATTGATAATGTGTGTTTTCGTTTTTAATCATCTTTTTCAGTCTGCGGCATTTACAGGAGTTCATGGTTACGCCATTGCCGGAGCTTGGATGTTGTGCGGGCTGGGATTTGGGATTTTCTTGGCTGTTAAGCATTTCGGAGGTGGGTCTCCTTCAAGCCCAGATCGAGATGTTAATCGCTCCGATAATCACTATTTCTTATTGTTCTTGCTGGTTATCTGCTTCAGTTTTCTCGCCATGTAAGTGCCTGCACTTTTTCTTTTTTGATTCCCTTTTCGACTGTTCACATTCTCTTCTCGCTCTCAAAAGACGCGTAAGTAGAAGTTAAATCAGAAGATGACAAGCTTCCCAAAAATATATAGAAATTTAAGAGGGAAAAAAACGTTGGGGATATTTTTCCAGACATGATTATACGGAGTATCATTCAACACTCATCAACTATATATGGAATGATGTTACGACTAAAATACAAATGATAGATTGAATTGAATTGTTTGTTTTCATTAATTAATCCAAGTTTTTTCTAAAAAAATTATTAATTTAGACTTAAGTTATTCAATTACGATTAGGGTTAGTTAACGAGTTTGAAATCTCGTTATTTTTTGTTACTAAGGTTTCGGAAGTATAAGAACGTATTAAATTTCGAAAGCTCGAAATTACAAATTTGTAGGTTGCTTAAACTTGTTTCTCCTTTTATTTTAGACTTAGAATTACGCAAATTTTTTTGAATAATACAAAGATCCCATAATGTCTTTACTCGTTATCAAAACATTTTCCCTTCCTTCGGATTTGTTTTCTCATGAATTTATTTTTTTAGATTTGTTGGGTCCGCATAAATTTAATTTTAATGATATAGAGGCACAGATTGGGCCGGCACAGATTAGTCTGGCCCAAGAAAATAGATGGGCCAATTATTATGGACCAAAATTGGGCCATTCTTTTGTTGTGTGATCCGGCCCATATCCGAACCGAAGCGGACCGGATATTTCCGCCCTCTTATTATCCATGGCTTGCCGACCCAACTTGGAACCCTGCTTGCATTTGCTTTTACCAAATGAGCAAGTTCATATTTTATTTACTTAGGCAGAAAAGCTGATAAAATGTAATTCATGGTCTGGATTCAAAGAATTGCGACTGGGTTCGCGATGGCAGCGAACCAGACGAGCTTAAAGAGGACGAAGAATTTGAAAGAGACCATTATGGGAGCCGGAGGCGATGCTCGGAAAAGCATCCGCCGAGTGATGGACGCGTTGACAAGTATTGAAGATCTTTTAGTGCCTTATGATTCACGAACAGTTCTGCGACTGAACGTTACTACTCATCGGCTAAGAAAGGAATACAATACCATCAAACGTTTTGTCAGGAAAAATGGGCATACAATTGATATAGCCATCCAGACTCTGTAAGCCAAAGCAATCCACCTTGTATTTCCTTTAACCAAATTAATTTAGCCTTCATTTCCTTTTTTTTTTAAACTGTGTTATATGATCTTTGTGTTTATACAGGTACATATCACATCTTGTGTTGGCATCGATCAATTTGGCACTCTTGGTTGCTGCAGTGGGTAAGTTTGTATTTGCAGACATATATACACATATACATGTATATCAAGTAGTTCATCAAGACTAAGTTGATTAGACTAAGGGGTTGCTGGTTAATTTGGTTCAGTTCTGCTCCTGTTGCATTGGCACCCTGGACTTGTCATGTAAGTAGAATTCATATATTCCTCTGTTAGCTTGACATGGTAGCTAAATTGTGCTTGGTCCAAACATAGCCTGTAGTTCAGTAAAATTTGAGAATTTGAAACAGTAAACTGCTTTAATTGTCTATTCTTGCATTTCAGGGTTATTTTTCTGTGCTGGATCTTAGTAACTCTGTTCTGGGTTTTGACGGGAGTTGATTTCTTCATTCATACGTGAGTAAATATTGCATAGGGACCTGTAAATTTCTCGGTGATGATGATAATATTCCATTTTACAATTGGTGATATGACATAAGTTTTACAATGGATAATATATTGGTATCTGCAGTCTTGCAAAAGATACTTGTTCAGCAATTGATGGGTTTATGCAGAAGCCCCAAAACAACAGTTTAAGTTCTATACTTCCTTGCATGGATTCGCTCTACGCAGATAAAATCCGTGTAGGAATTGGCTCCACCATCCACAATTTCATAACTGAGGTACTAAATTGATTCATACGAAACTCACATGTGGATACTTATAGTTTTATCTCCGCGGTGTAGTCTATTGCATATCCAAGTCCGTAGTTTGTGATAATTCAGTCATATGTTTATTATCATTGTCTGTGTTTGGGACGTGTAGATATTTTAAAAAATTAAACAGATTTAGGGGAAAAGAAGAAAAAATTAAATCGCAGTGACTAAATAGTAACAAAAAACTATACTGTACTCTATTTTTTATTTGCATGCTTTTGGTTTGGCAAGGTAGAAGATGATGGTTCTTTGCTATTTATTTTTCTTCTTTTTCCTATGTTTGCAGTTGAACTTGAAAATAAAAGAGTTATATGGTCGACTTTTCTTTAAGATGAAAGAACATAATGATTTTTTTGGAGTTGAAATGGTATGTGACCCTTTTTCTGGAGCACCTAACTACAGCTATGTGCCAGAAAGCTGCTCAAAGAATGCCATTCAAATCGGTGATTTACCAAATGTAAGTACATCTTCTTAACCATTAGATGAGAAAATGATCAGTTAAGCCAAATAGATAGATGCTAAAGCTCACTTTGGGTTGAGTAGTAGTGAGTTTAAGCTCAATTTGAAGCTTGATTTGATTTGATTTTTTTTTCCTGCTTGAATCCTACTCTAGTAAATTAAAGGTTAATCTTAGTTAAAATTGACAATATTGAATTTGAATTGGAGTTGAGGTTGATTTAGACATGTTTGAACCTTTTATTATAAAATAGTTTGATTTCATATTTGGAAGTATTGAAAGTTGATTTTCGGCTCGAAATTGATCTCTCAAAAAGATTATGGTACCATTTTTTAGGGCAGTTGAAAAACTTTGTTAACGAAATCTATTTTATTCTTATTTTAATTATTAAATTATATAAATTTTTTCGAGTCGTGAAAATTAACTTTATAAAATTTTTTAAAAAGATGTAAAACTACACATTTTAAATTATTTCAAAGAGGAGAATGAAATATATTGTTTCATTCGACTTTGAATATCTTTTCGAGATTAATTTGTATTGCATTTAAGACAAAAACTCTTATTCAAAATTATAAACAAAAGTTATTATATTGAAATTTCACATAAATTGTATTTAAAAAAACTATTTGTTCACAAATATAACATAAATTCTTATTCTTAAGTTTTGATTAAATACAATAAAATCTCACTTAGTTTAAAAATCTATTTACAGGTTCTTTCAAAGTTTACCTGTTACAATCAGGACTTAACAAAAGTTTGCATTGGTGAAGGAAAATTTATTCCTCGGTCATCTTACAATGAAGTTCAAGCTTACAGTCAATCTATTCAAAATATGTTAAATGTATTTACAGATTTACAGAATTTAACAGAGTGTGAAATAGTAAAAAATACATTTTCAGATATTGCCTTGCACCAGTGTCCGCCAATTAAGGGTTCTTATAGATTCTTGTGGGCATCTATGTTGGCACTTTCTACATCAACAGTGGGTTTAGTGTTGCTTTGGGTGGTTAAAGCTTATCAAGAGAATGGAAAGTCTTTTTCTAGGTGTTCATTCAGAGTTCAGGTATGAGAATATAATGAAGAGACCATGATAAATTGTAGATTACTTTTGAAAAATTGATAAAGAAATTAGATAATTTTGGATGTTATCTTATTACATAATATAAAAGAAAATATAAATGAAGATAAACTTATTATAGGACAACAGAGAGATATAGCAGTTTATACTTATTTTTAAAGAATTACTTCAATATTTTGCAAAGGTTGTAAGATATTCAAATGAATAATGTATATAATGAGAAACATTATATGTTTTTTTAAAATATTTTGTATTAATTTAAATGATAGTAGAATATTGTTGCTTTGGGAATTATGTATATACACATTTGTAGTTACTATTGCAAGTACAACATTCCATTTATATTAAAAATTTTAGTTCATATAAGTTGATTATTTTATGTTAAACAAATTGACTATCAACTACTGTAATTATTATATATATATATAAATTTTTAGATCTTGGTTCAGACAAAATTACACCAACTAGTCGCAGTAACGGCTAATATGACAAATGACAAGTTTCATGAATCTTTAAAATCAATAATTAATCTATGATTTTAATGTGGGATTAATTAGATATTACATTAATTAATCTAATTATGCTATTAATTAATGTGTATCTTATTTTGGTCAACCACTCTGAACAAATTTCTAGATGCCACACCTCATCCGTAGTTCTATTAAATCTCAAGATACAATTAATTGGCTTGATTTAAGTTCCCACCAACTTAATTTGACGTTAATGATTAATTTAATTAGCTAAGCTGACTTTAAAATTTATGACACAGCATATAAGATTAGATCACAAAATTTAATTATAAAATATATTGTTATGGTAAATTAGAAATTAAAATTTATTTTTATGTTTTGAAATTTTAACTAAATAACTATCATATATTAAGCATTTTTATATTTAAAAATAAAAAAAAATTACCATGCAACATTCTTTGATATTCTATATACACGAGTTTCCATTATACAAGAAATATGTAAAGATTATATAAAATATTTTTCTTTTAAAATTTTAGTTTAGTGGTTTTCGACTCTGAATTTAAATTATTCTTGTAATTAATAATTTTATATATTGTCAATATTTATATATAGTGATAAATTGACAACAAAATAAATGTTGGTGATATGGATTTATCTATAAATAAAGAAAAATTTAAAATAAGTTGAAAATATATTTGGATTTTCCATAATAATTTTATTAATGTAAATAAATTTATTGATTTTATCCATAATAATAAGAAAACTGTGATTTGGATTTCCATTTTTGTTGGTTTTATGTAGAATAATATTTAAAGAAAAATCCCAATTTCTTAAAGCATACAACTCTATATTCAACCAACGAAAGAGGAAAACATTACGACTGAATTGGATTTACAGTATTTATTGTTTTTTGCTCCTATATACGCTCTGTATGTTCATGGTTTACTCAACTGCCAAAATCCAAATCTTTGCAATACTCTGGAGTTCTCAACTTTCCCAAGTTGAAGCTCCCAACTAAATCCCCACACGCATGCGACGGAGAGAGTGATGTTTGTATATAAGGTTTGGTCCCCAGTCATAATCATCAACTTCTTCAGATCCAACTTAACCAGGAGTTAACCACGCAACCTCCTTCTCTCGTCTCTCCCGTTTCTCTCGTCTCTCCCGTTTCTCTCGTATAGTTGTTCAATTTCACTGTAGATTTTGGGGACCTGACCAAGTTGTTCAAGTTTCACTGTGTGGTCAGTTAGGTTGGTGTTATGAAGAATTGCTTGATTGATTCCGGACAGTGGTAGTGCTGGAAGTGATTTTGTGTTATTGGACCTCAGAAGAGCTTATGCTGAGACACCCATGTCGCGGAATTTGCCTCAGGTCATCGTCCCTCGGGTTTTGTCTGGTAAGTTGCTTGATTTTTGGTTTCTATTCAGTTTTCTGGACAATTTGATTCTGTGAATGCTCGTGTTTTTTGATCTTTTTGGGGCTTCTCAAATTTGTTGATTCTGGGTTTAAGGCTTGGGGTCTGGGGGGAAGGGGGGTTGTTGTTGTGGATCCCCTAAAAGGGTTTGAGAATAATGGTGGATGTCATGATAGATTGAAATCAGTTATGTAAATGCACTTTCCATGTTGGAATCGAGTGAATCTTGAACTGATAAATCTTTCGATTTTATCAATTGAGAATTTAGGAACGTTTTCATTTCAGTAACAAATAATCTATACTTTATCTCAA